CTCATATTTCCTCCTGATATTCTTCAGCGGAAATTTTGCACAATATGTATATGTATACGTATTCTATTAATCTCGTCTAATTTATCCATTTAACAGAATAATATTCTGAATCATTTTATAGATGGACAGTTCCTTGTATAGATAAATTATCTATAATCTATCTATTATCTAATGAATAATATTCATTTAAGTTAACTTTACATTTTTTAGTGCTGTTTAGATAATGATTCCCTACAATTTACAACCTATTATGCAGATATTATTTTTGAACAGAGGAAAAATGTTAAATATAAAACAGGAATTTCGAAATTATCAGGGAATTTCATAAATGTGGAAATGTCGGGAAGTGTCATGAAATTTTTTAACTTTTTATGGGATCTTTTCAAATTCTAATTGTAATTGACCTTTATTACATTATATGGTGTTGCTGCCATTGGAAAAAACGTTGCTGAAAAGTAAATTCGTTATTACTACTAGTACTAATTTTATGACGCCTATCTGTACCGCTTGTGTCGTATGTTTGTTAGTTGACTATTATTAAGAATTAGTTTATGCCATTTCCGTTTATTTATTTACTTAAATCTGTACTAAACCAGATTTGCATAATTAATTATCAGTGCACAACAGAGAACTTGGAAACTATTAGATATACAAAAAAGCTTAAATAAACAAAGTACCTAGTACAGAAATTAATATCAACACAAAGAAAATAATATTTCTATTGATTTTGATTTTAATCAGAAAAAACAAAAATCTCTTTTTTTTAATCAGTTGCAACTTTGTTGTTTGCAGTCCATTTGGAAAAATTTTCATTAAATATCGTGTCAATTGTTTGCTATTACAAAAAGAATTATTTCTTTTCAAATAAAATCTCCAATATGACACCCACAGGAAAAAAAGTTATTTCCTTGAAAATGTTGGTTAAAAAAGTTACTACGCCAGGGAAAATAACACAAAAAACGAAGTTAAAGTTACAACTAAATTTTAAACAGAGCGATTGTTACTTTTTATAATAAAATTGACAAGAACAGGAACTTTTAAATATTAAAAAAATCAAATCGAAAATGTCAGTATTTTATTATTTTTAAATGTTAGTTTACCTATAACATGAGTTTCTTATAGTACAACTTTATCGATATTACTAGTATTAATTCCATTAAAATTCTTAATAATTTAACCAAAAAAATAATAGTATTTGCTAACATTTTATACAAATATACAGGGTGATTCACAAATGGTGACCAAAAATGAAACCTCGTATTCTCTTATTCGAAAATCAATCTTTTTTCCAAAAACATATGGGATTTGTACAAAATTGAAAGACGAATCCGAAAATATCATGGTTGTTACCGTAAAGCAGTGGCGTACTGTTTTATTTAGAAAAATATGCTACCGATATCCTTCCTGTTCTCCGCCACTGGACCAAGTAAATTTTAGGAAAAGCTCTCAGATTTTGAACAATGTTTACATAAATACATGTGCACAATTTCGAATTATTTCACTTACTAGTTTTTAAATTATTTAAAAAAATTAAAAATATTTTTTGAAGTTTAACCACCCTGTATCTTTTTAGAATAGACTCCCCTTAAAATTAACTAAAGAATACGAGGTTTCATTTTTGGTCATCATTTGTGAATACATATTAGAACTTAACTAAAAATTCAACTTTTTAATTTTTTTGAAAAATGTGTTTTTATTTTACCTTATTAAAACCACTTTCCCCTAAATAAAAAATCTTGCATATTTAGATTACACTTATTTAGTATTTAGACTGGTATTTGGTAAAAATGATTAGACGAAAAAGTTTTTTCTATGGTCATTAATAAAAATGTTTCCTATTTGATGCAAATTTTGAGTGGCTACTGTAGAGTGCTTGAAAAAATAATACCTTGTTAAATATTTATTTTGGTGATATGGACAAAAGATTTAGGAAACCGTAATTATTGAAAAAAATGGAAACAACGAATTGTAGCCTCGCAGCCTTTATTTTTTTAAAATCCCCTGGAAAACCTGAAAACATTAGGGGAAAAAAATAGTATTTTGTATTTGATAAAAGTTTCAAAATACTTTTTTGAAAGACCAGAATTTCTATTGCAAACTATTCTATAATGCAAACATAAACATCATAATTGTACCCTAATTTAAAAAAATGCTAGAATGCCCGTCAGTTATCTTTTAGTTAAAAATTATAATGCTTTTTCAACATTCGTTGATACCACTTTTCTTCAACTTTCTTGGTTATGACTTATGAAGGATATTTTCCCATATACATTTTTACAAGCTGGTGTTTATTCAGAGTTAAATAAACCTCTTCTAGTGGTTCCTTGTCCTTTTAATTTTGTTAAGTAAATATATAAACAAACAAATGCTTCAGCTTTATTCAGGAATCCGTATATGTTATTTAGTTCATTCAACTTGAAACCTTACAAACTAGGCACAGCTTTTGAAATTAATATAAAAAATTTCAGAATCAGATAGGTTAGAGGTTGTAGTTATAATACATATTGCCTTCTGACAATCCTGAAACCACCTTGTGGCAAACCTATTGAACATGTAAAATGTTATATATTGCTGAAAAATTTTTATTTTGGTCGAATTGTCCAGTGTTGTCCATAAGCGAAATTCTGTAAAAAAATTTTATAAATTTAAAATATATGTAAAATAAAGTCAATAAAATCAGCTAATTACTTATTTTTTATCAAAATAGAAGCAACACATTACTTTTATTACCATATTGTAGCAGTTTAAGTGACAAATTGCCTCTTTTTATGGCTCGTGTTTTTAGATCTGATGACGTCGACCACGTTGCCCTCTGACCAGGTACGACCTAAACTTCTTAGTAGCTTTGAAGCTTTTCACCTCCGAATTCTTTGAAACTGAACCGATCGACTTGAAATTTGGCACATAGTTAGAGAAAAGGCCAATGAACATTAGTAACACAGCACCGATTGACGCTTCCACCCCTTCTCGGGGGCGGAAATTTTTTTTCAAAAATAACGCCGGAAATCGATAGAAAATCAAATTTTGAGCAAATAATATTCGAAGAATTTTTTCGAGAAATCAATAGTTTTTTAGTTATTCACCATTGAAAACTTGGAATTTTGAGTGAAAAAAAAACATTTTTTCAAGATATTTTTCGCGAATAACTCATAAACTACGCATTTTATTAAAAAAAGTGTAATGAACAGAAATGTAGCTTATAAATAAACAAAAAAATCGTTTTTTAAAAAGTGTTGTACGTCCTATACAAAGCCAACTATGGCTAGTGGAAGGGGACTTGTTTTGGGGGGAATACTCAAATCGATGTATTCAAAGTCACATAACGGAAAAAAGATTAATTTTACGTGTATAACGCTCATGGAATTTTTTGTAGTACTCAAAAAGACCTTCAAATGTTAATTAATGCAAAATTGAAGGAGTTATCGTCAAAAACAGATGGGTTGCTCATATTTTTCAAGGAAAAATCAGCAGTAAACGCTGTACGATTTCCATCAGAATTAAAATTAATCGTAGACCCTTTGCAATTAGTTTTGGTTTAGTGTTTTTCATACGATCCTGAAGTTAGACCGGTTTAGAATGCGTATTTTTTTAATAATGTTGAAAACGTATTTTTCATTATTCAAAACAAAATTGCCTTTTTTATATAATAATTCTGAAACTATGAAAGATACGTAAAAAATGATAAATAATAAAAATGTAGCATTTTTTTCAACAAATATTTTGCTTTTTTTTATCCTATAGCATAAAAAATAAAGGGGATATCGTCATTTAAAGTTTAGTAAAAAAACGACCTGTCTTGAGCCCTTCGATCCTTTCCCTTTAAAAATCGAAAGACTTAAAAGGTTTTATATGCAAACGATCTTACAGCTCTTGAAATTATCTTTAAAATGCTTTTTTGTAGGATACTATAGCTTCAAAATTAACCGAGTTATGGTAAAAAAACCAATGACATTTTTTCGGAGCAAAATAGGATTTCTCATTTTTATATGTTATACATTATATTATACAAATAAAATAAGTAAAAAAATTTAGTGTGATTATTTATATGCAGCGTAGCAATTTTTTTATGATTGATTATATTTAAAAATCGATTATAATAAAAATATTTTACATTAATATTGGTAAAAGGGTAGTTTATAAGAGTTGAAAATGGCAAAAGTAAAATATTCTTTCATAAACAATATAAGGGAATTTTTATTTTAAATTATTGCACAATTATAGCATTCCAAGATTTAAAACGTAATTTTTTATCATTTTTTTAGCACAGGGGTGATTTATAAGGGTTGAAAAGTGTTATGAGATACAAATTCTTTCATAAGCAATGAGGGAATTTTTATTTTAAATAATTGCACCGTTAAAGCATTCCAAGCTTTTAAAAAGTAATTTTTTATCATTTTTGTCAATACAGGGGTGGTTTTTAGGGGTTGAAAGGGAAAAATTCTTTTATTAGCTATAAGGTAACTTTTATTTTAAATAATTGCACGATTTAATCATTCCAAATCTTTAAAAAGTAATTTTTTATCATTATTTTTTGCATAGGGGTAGTTTTTAAGAGTTAAATAGAGGGTCGAAAAGATCAAATATATCATAAAACATGTTTGAGAACATGGAACATTATTTAATCTTTGTGCTTGAACAAGATTTTTCTCAATAAAATGCTTAAAAATTAATTTTTTCAATTTTTTTCACTTAGGGGTAGGTAGTTTTTACCCCTAAAAACAAAAAGCGTCAATCGGGCTTATGTCACTTTTGAACTTGAGCCTAAGATGAGCTTTATTCTAAATTTTCATGCGAATCCATGCAGTCTCAAAGAATTCGGAGGTTACAGCTGATTTTCAGCTTCAATGACTACTATCTCTAAAACTATGGGCAATTTCAAGAAGTGGGTAGATCCTCTTGGCCATTCATAGATTTTATTTCCCTCAAACCCTTTTCTATTTTTTTATTTAAAATGTATTCATGAACATTATTATATTTAAAAACTTATTTTTCCCTTTCAGAAATATCCATGGATTGGTCCGACCACGCCTTGTGGTGGCCCGAACAAAATGTATGGTTGACCAGGACGAGATCCACTCTGGACCAATGTGGTGTCCATGCCGACGCCCTCCTGTATTTCACCCCTATGCACAAAAACCTTAGAGTACAGTTACCAGATCTTAGACATCTTGACATGAGGGTAGACTTCTCCATCAAAACATTCTCAGCCGTTGCCCAAGTATGTAAAGACATCGGACTAAGACATCCCGAAGAGTTATCGTTTTGCAAGCCTCTGGAACCCAATCACTTGAAATATAATTATAAGGATATGCCAAAGAAAAAAATCGATCAGAATGGAGCCCAGAAGAATGGACACCTTCCTGTAGACACGAACACATTTATCGCTAACAGTAGCCCTGTAGGTAGTACGGGAAGTCTAGACAAATCGCCGTTTATGTGTGCGCCAGTAACTCCATCCCGACCTCCCCCATCTTCAACCCCTGTTGGTAGTCCTGCGGGCAATGTAAGTGTTATTAACACAGTAACAGATTACTCTGTGTCAATAGTTGTACCCAGTTTTCCAAATTCATTTTCGTTTTTTAAAAGTTTAATCATATTTAATTACATTTCATAAAAAAATGTGTTGGTGTTTCATGTGTTGCTAAAACTATTCCCACATTACCTTAATTCGTGTTTCTGTTATTTTCATCATGTATATGCGAGGGGGAAATCGCTGACTGAAATTTGTACACTAAAATACTCATTTTGGTAAATAATGCTCACTATTATTCAAATATTACTCACTATTGCTAGGATAGTACTCGTATTACTTGAATATTACTCATATTACTCAACTATTATTCATATTACCCAAATATTACTCATATTAGATAATTATTACTCACATTACTCAAACATGACTCAGTTTACGCAAATATTATTTGTATTACTCAAGTATTAATTGTCGCTTACCATGTTAGTGGGGTACAATCACGCCATTCAATAAAGGAGAAAGGCTCAAAAAAAGGGAATGGTAAATAAGCAGCGAATACAAACTGTAGCACATATTTTTGTTTATTTGTATCCAATCCAATATGGTTTACAAAAAACAAAATAACAAATATTACATCTTAACCCTTTCGCCACTAAAGGGCATATATGTCCCACGGCATTTTAGGTTTCAAAAATACGGTAGTTTTTTTTGAAAATACGTTTTTTTCGTATAACTATAATACTTTTATAAGCCCTCAGAACAAGTTTATTCAATATTATCTTTTTAGCATGCCACATTTTGGAAATATTGCCTGGGACATAATATATAACCCGCTAGTATTTTATGATGGGATTTATATGTGCCAGTAGTATTGTGAAATGACGATTCAGGAAATCTTTTACTGCATGTTTTATTAGAATATAGAAAAATACAGTCAAAATAATAAGATTAATTATGGTAAGAAGCAAAGCATGAGTTGCACAAGGGAACTTCACAATAAGAGCAGACTACTGTGGTTCGTTTTTCTACTTTATTCTGTCAATATCGTATAACCCGGTGAACTGATCTGACAAGTCTACACCGCCCATTGCTTCCGGGCACTCCACATTTATTTTGGATCCATCTATGGATCTTCGGGTTACCTCAATTTTTACATCTCTATGGCAACTGCTAAGTACCAATACTTCTTTCGTGTCCTTCCAAAGAAATCCTATCGTCCCGTTATCATTATGCATGCTTTCAATTTCTCCCTTTCTCCTTTTTCTCTTTTCAAACTTAGGCATGTTCTTTCTTGACGCAATGCACGTTCCGACTGCTGGAAATGGCAACTGATCTAATAAATCTACAGAAGTGAAAAAGCGATCAAAACAAAAAGACACATTTGGCTCTCTGACTGTATCTGTAAGTTTTCTTACAACTCTTTCACCTAAAGTACCATCAAGGACTTCAGAGTACCTTTTTAACGTAAAACAGTTCGGGAAAACGGAGTTTGCTGTCCAATTTGTTAAAAAGTCAAAGATGAAAAAGTTACACACGCAAAGTACCAAGGGCCCCCCCGTACCCACCCCAATGGACCTTGTGGAAATAAATGGATTAGTCCATCAATTTGCTCTACAAAATTTAGCTGTGTATACCAAATTTCATTCATTTATCACAACGCGATTGAGAGATATTGCAAAAAAATTATTTCCATTCCTCCCTCTTCAATGGGTCCCTGTGCCCTTAGGAAGCATTTACGGACCCATGTTCATATGAACTTTTTTACTTAGTTTTGATCATAGAATCGGCCTGTTCAGGGTTGGCAGCTAATTATGAGACACCCTGTATAACCCAATAGTATTTTTAAAGCAGAAAAAATTATATTGTAGCCGTAGTGAAAGGGTTAAGACTAAACAACAACATCAACTAAATTAAAATGTAGCTAGGAGTAAAAAACTAAACTTGGAAATAAATATAGGTATCTATAATAAATTTAATCTTCTTTATGCTAATTTGTAAGTTTTTAGAATTTTCAAACTGTCAATTATGTTCTGTTCTTCCACTAAGTTTTGAATATGTTTCTATTTACCTCACCTATGAATTTGTTTTCCTCCATAGCCAGCTATAATATACAACAATAGTATCAAATTCTGCTTAGTAGTGCATTTGTTTTTAGACATGGCCAACTATGTTCTTCTTTTTTAATCAAGAAGAGAGAAATTTTTTTACGTTCTAGATTGTATGACAAACTTTGGAAACCTCAAAACGCCCTCTTTCTATGTCAACTTTTAACTTGTAATAATAACTGAGATTCTCCATCGTAATATTCAAAAAGGAATGTACCTACTCATACCCAAAAGTAAATTTATCAAAATCACAGAATATTTGAACATGTAGAAATATAAACAGTAAAGTTATAGACACATGATTTTTATATTTTTATTGTACATATTCTAGAAACATAATTTCTTTATGTAGTATGGTTTTATTTTCAGACTGGCACCTGGAAAAAGAACGGATACGGCAATGATACGAACGGTACTTTGAATTATTCTGGAAATAGCCTTAGTAGTGAACAGCTAAACGGTACTTTCGACAGTTCGTTAGCACAGAGCCCTCCATCCCCTTATCCAGAAGCCAGACGACAACTCGTTAGACCTAAATCACTCGTCGAGAAGGCCAGAATGAATGTCGCGTAAGTATTTATGTTCATCAAAAAAAAAATATCACTTATTTAATATTAATTTTTTTTGACAAATTAATACATTTCCTTCCAGCAGCAACCCATAAAATGAATGAAACTTAAAAATATCTGAATAATTTTAATAATTTGCAAACAATTTGTAAAATATTTTCTACAGTGGGTAATTTTTTTTTTAAGATGGCTGGATTCATCTTTGTCGATAATGGAGCAGGGCGTGAGGGAACACGACATACTGTGCCTGAAGTTTAAATTTTACGTGTTCTACGACCTTAATCCCAAGTACGACGCCATACGTATAAACCAGATATATGAGCAAGCAAAGTGGCAATTATTAAATGAAGAGATCGATTGTACGGAAGAGGAAATGTTGATGTTTGCTGCATTGCAGGTAAGCTGGTCACGATAACAGAGTATATTAACCGTCCCCAAAATGAGTCACACATAAATGGTAGTTATATCAAGCAATACTGATCAAGAAAATGTTTTTTCCTAAAATTGTGTACATAACACCCTGGGGGGGGGGGGATGGGGTGCGATGATGAATAAAACATCCGGTTTTTGTGAACTTTTTATCGATTCTGACTGGTATTCCTAATTAAGCTCAGGCATTACAATTTTTCGTTTATTTAAATCAAAATTACAAAATAACAAAAGGTATCAAAAATAATAAAAATAAAAAAAAAATAGGACTGGAGGGTAAACTGAAGAAAGGGAAAAACAGTTTATTTTATATAGATCTTTTTTCACAAATTTTTTTTCGGTCTATACTGTATTACAACAAAAATAATGCACATAAAAATTACGGACTTTTATTTTGAAGAGAATCTCAAAACTAAACTTTTTTTCCTTTGACTATTTTCTCTAACGTCAATATTCTCCGAGTTATACATGAAAGAAAAGAGAAAAATGTACCTTTTATTTAATTTTTTTTCACATTTTCTTGCGCTAACAATTATGCACAACTTTTTCAGCAGGCGCATATCGCAATTATCATTCTACATAATATTTAGAACTATTTCCAACATAAATTAGCGTTACTATATGAAACATCCATACAACCAACTTTTAAAACAGATACCGACTGGACTATATTGATATGAAAAATCCCTATAAATACTATCTGAATTTTGAATATTTTTGATATTGGCCTGGTTCTTGTTGGAGCCAGCAGGTATATAACCCAGAAACTTCACCGGACGTGTTGACTATTTATATTTATAAATCGTACCTCTGAAAATTATCAAATTTGAAGGGAAAAATGCCGGCCCTCTAAAAATTAACAGCATTTAATATAGGTAAATGATATACTTAATTTTTTCAAAGTATTTTAAATATTCTTTCATGAGATGCTAGGAATTTAGAGAATGATTTACATGCATACAACTCTATATGTAATATGAACAAAATGTCCGTAGCTGTCTGAAAATATTTTATTAGTGCTATTTCTTAATTAATTTATCTTTTTGGCTTCTGCTAATTAAAAAATAGTAAATAAACCTTTGCTCCACCTGTCTCAATATATGATGACTTTTCGACGGTCTATGAAAGCAGATAAACCAAAAAATTATGAAATATTGTATTTGAAATTTTATTCGAAAGGATGTATAAAGTGTTTGCAAATGGGTTATACTTCCCTGGATAAAAATAAACTGAAATGGATCAAGATACCTTAATACAATTTTTCTTCTTTAAAAAACTACAAGCCTTCAAGGAAAATAACCACCACTTATAAACATATTTTTATAAAATATGTCATGGGAGAGTTTTTGGGGTGGCCAAATATGAAGGTGAAAGAGAGGTTTTTTTTGAGGCACTATTTTATTTAATTAAAAAAATATATACAGGGTGTCCCGAAATTAGGGGGCAATATTTCTACAGGGTGTTCTATGTCGAAAAAGAATACTTTTTCTTTATATAAATGTGGATCCAAAAATTCTTCCTAAGGAAGTTATAGCCACTTAAAGGGGCCACTCTGATGATGGTTTTTTCTAAATAACTCCGAAACCAGTTGAGATAAATTATGAAATTTGGTAACTAGCTTGACTCTTACATGCGCAGTCTACTACTAAAACAAAATTTATAAATTTGCATTACATACGTTCTAACATTGGGCGAGAGGGGGGGTAAAATTTATCATAACTTTTTTATGCTTTGATTTTTTTGACTTTTGACTGAAAAGTATGAAATTTCAGTTTTTTAGTAACAAAAGGCATTATTTGTTCATATTGGTAGAATGTTCCATTTTTGTGTAAAACCCGTTTAAAAATAATGTTACATGTGTGAATCACCGAGAATTGAAATTGTCAATATTTTTTATCGTCGCAGGTTTTGAATAACAAAAATGCATTTGACGTCATTTACATTGACAGTTCAGTTATTTACTTTTTGTGAATTGTCCACGGGCAATTCCCCACACAAATTTTCAAATTAGATTTGCAATAAATGTGTGGGCAGGAATTTTAGGGGACCAGCTCCTTGGACCAATTCAATTTCCCATTTTTCTGAATGCAGAAGAATACTTAAACTTTCTGCAAAATGATGTAAGAGAACTATTGGATGATTACGTTAAACGTAAGCTTAACGTTACACTATCAACAAGAAGGGGCACCACCTCACTTTACCCATAATGTCATAAATTGGTTAAACGATCATTTTCCTGGCAGATGGATAGGCAGAGATGGCCCCATTCCATGGCCACCCCGATCTCTAGACCTAAACCTTCTAAATTGTTCTTCACAACCTGCTACGATAGAAAATATTGACAATTTCACGGTGATTAACACATGTAACATTTTAAACGGATTTTACACAGAAATGGAACGTTCTACTAATAGGGACCAAGTATCTTTTTTTAATAAAAAAAACTGAAATTTCATACTTTTCAGTCAAAAGTCGAAAAAGTCAAAGCATAAAAAAGTTATGGTCAATTTTAGCCCACTCCCCCCAGTGTTGGAACTATGTGATGAAAATTTCTAAATTTCGTTTTAGTAGCGGACAAATTATATAAATTTAAATCAACTTGTTTCGGAGTTATTTAGGAAAAACTATCATCAGAGTGGCCCCTTTAAGTGGCTATAACTTCCTTAGGAAGAATTTTTGGGCCCACGTTTATATAAAGAAAAAGTAATCTTTTTCGACATAGAACACCCTGCAGAAATAGCACCCCCTAATATTGGGACACCCTGTATATACTTCTTGCATGTTCCTGAAACGTTCCATAGAAAAATTTACTAAATTTCTTACAGCCACCTTAGTATTTTGAGGATGTTCTAATTTAAGACTGCAACGATTTTTTATGATTTTAATCAACTTCCAACCCAATGTTGCAGTACTATATCTTAGTAGACACTGACCTTTTAATTGAATTATTTGGGTCTAAATGCTGCTAAATATGTTCAATTACCAATAGGCAAAATGTCACTAATATATTTTACACTAAAAATTGATGATGGTTGTTCAAACAAAATTTTGTCACAAACTTCTTCATTTTTGAATTTTAGTCGAAGTACTGACGCTTGTCCATAAATTTTAATGTTTGTAAGTCATCAGGATCTAGGGGGCATTATGATCGACATCCCCATATCTAACAACTTACGCATTTTAAGTAACAGTTTGCCTCTTTTCATGGCATGCTTTCTTAAATCTGACGACGTTTAACGTGCTGCTCCTTGGTCGTGGACAGCCTAACTTCCCTAACAGTGGGCAATGTCAACAGTTAAACAGACCCTCTTGTCCTGCATATCTCATGATCTGAATTAAATTTTGAAATATTAGCCCGGTACTTTGAGTCCTGATTAAAATTGCTTATTAATGCCCGTTTGCACCGTTTAGAATTTAAGCCAAGTTCAACTGAACTTGGTTTAATTTTAAAACTAGGTTTAATAATCAGCTTTTGCACCACTTACTGCTGATTGTAGATTAATTTAAACTGGGCTTTAGGAATACTGTTTAGGTATTTTATTATGCTGCTAACTTATGTCCAGTTATGTTCGGAAAAAAATGTCATAGTCAAATTCTCAAACCAAAATTTTAATATGAGTACCATCAATGACACCTAACACTCTAGGAAATGATGCAATTTTATAGAACTCATGTTGCACACTAACAATTTCTTCTGGGTTTGGCATTTTTTTTGTATCTCTGATAAAGCCGAGCTATTACAATTGATACTCGTACAATTATTCTGGACACTGTTGATATGTCCATACCTGAAAAGTCTGCAATAGCAGACAAATGACCAGCACAAGCATAGAACCAATTGTTGGATAGGAGATACACTATTATTCCCAGAAATAAAAAATCATGTTAAGAATAAAAGCTTTTTATAACTCCAAAATTCTGATTGCCAGTTGCAAACTTACATGTCACTTGGACTCCTCTTCAATTAAAGTTAGCAAATGTAATGTGGTCTCTTTTGTCAACCTAAATCTGCGGAAAAATGTCATATTGTCCAGATTATGAAATAGATCATTTCTAATATAACTAGGAAATCCAGTCTATAATTTCGTGAATATCAAAATCATCCAATACATCAAAGTCAGAATCTGAATCCATTTCTAAGTTCTCAATGATGTCTTAATACCACTCACTCATACACAGTCCACAGGAAAAGGAATAAATGCCTATTTAAAAAAATTATAACTAGCAGCTAAGTACTGTCAATTGTGTCAATTTATATTTTCTCATTAATCCAAGTTTAAGCGGTCAAATTTGAGGGTTTAAATTAATCCTAGATTAATACATAGATTTGAAACGGTGCAAACAAAATGTTATAATTTAATCCAAGTTCAGACTTAACCCTGGATTAAACACTATGGTGCAAACGGGCATAAGTAGTTAATGCCGGTTTAAGAATAATCATTTTTTAATAAATATCTACTTTTGTAGTTCGAGCTACATTTAGTAGAACATTAAGAATGTACCATTAAGCCGAACTAAAAAGATTTGCAAAGGTAGGCTCATAAATAAAACTATAAGATCGGGGGATAGATTTGCTTACCTATGTAGTAAAGTAGAGTTCGAAATCAAGAAATAAAAGTTTAATATTTTTTTGCTGGTTCTACTGATTTCGTTATGGAGTTCTAGCGAGAGATTTCCAACCTCAATCTTCAATATGCGTTGCGATGTTGTGACGTTTTGACATTGACTAATGACGTACTATACTTAAAATTATGAGGTTGTAATAAATGTTGAATTTCTTATAAAATGCTATTAAGTCGCTTTCTCTAATCAAAATGTGCTAAAAAAAAATTGACGGAGAGCTGGTAGCCATTTTTGGGTACTTAAGGGTCCATTAAATTTTTAAAGCAACATTTTTTTTTGCAAAAAATATTCTTGACACTGAAATTTTTACAAAAATAGATATTTACAAAAAGACAGGTCGTTTAGGTGGGACATTTTACCTGCCAGGTGAGTGAGAATGTAATTATATACAGGATGTCACTCTTTATGGTTAGGACTTTAACCATCGATAGATCTCGTCAAAATAATGTAATTTTGAATTATTCACTTTTTCTTCCAAAGGCTTCTTTTTAGAGATATAAGCTCTTGAAAAAAAATATATTTTTTTGTTTTTTATTTTATTTTTCTTAAACTATAAAAGCCATTTATTTTATATTTAGTATGAAGTGTACGAATGAAAAGCTCTATCGATTTTACAAATTATTGTGAAAATAGATCAATCATAAGAGTCTGTAAGGGGCTCTGATAACCCCTATTTTTAATATAATTTCTACGCCACTGAAAAATTTTCAAAATGAATATATGTCCCACTGAAACGACCTTCAAAGTGCCTCAAGAATATTTTTTGCAAAAAAAATTTGCTTGAAAAATTTAATGGTCGCTTAAGCCCCGCAACCCTTCAGTCAGGTCTGCATTTTCATATTCAGGTATAACTAGAAGTTTTAAACAGTTTTTCAGTGCCTCAAATACCTACCCAAAAATGTCTACCAGCTCTTAGACTAAAACTCCTGATTCCATTTATTTATATCATCTGGTCGATGTCAAAGTATATTCATGCTCTGATCATTAATAAATTGAATTAATTATCTGCCATCTTCAAAAATGTCCTCAAAATCGAGATCTATTTCAGAATAGCACAAAATTTCATAGAATTATGTGAAATTAGATTGTCTCTTCCTCTGCTGTCAGATGTAAAATTAAAGAAATAACGGATGCCATTCGGTAGAATTCGACTGTTGATTAACTTGGCAAGCTGTCTGTTGATTTAACATGGAGATCGGCCATATTATTTAACCAGACCAGAACAAATCCTTCAATTAAATTTTAATGATCTCATATTTGTCAAGACTCAAAGTACGGGGCCTAAACAAAGTACGACAGTTGATTTTATTAGTGAAATATTATTGTTAAATATATCTTGTCTATGATAAATTTTTTATCGGTTTTCTAATTAGTTTGCTATTGAAATTTACTATCCAGTAATAATTATTTATGCGACCAATGCAACAAGTATGTCAAACACAGAGGAAGGCCGAGTTTAATGGTATGTCGAGTGCCAAGAATATTTTTTGCACAAGTTAGAATATTTTTTTCTACAATTGTCTGTCAATCGTTATCTCAGTAAAAAAAAACAGTTCATTTTGCCAATCTGTCCTGACGTAAAATAAATTATTTAAGTTTACACTACACGACATTTAGGTACTTGATTATCGAGCCGATTGCTGTAAATATCATTATAAGAATATAATTCCACATAATATGAAAAAAAGTTCTTTCTCGTTACTCCAACGTCAAAAGTGTCATTATTAAACTATCTATAGATTCAGTAGGATATAAAATAAACTAAATAGAACAAAAATAATATAAGTGTATACATATTCATATAGTAGGTATATATGATTTTATACCTGTTCATATGTAGCCATAAACATTTTACTTATAAAGGTTTATTCAATCAACATTAAAATAAGTACATGTACATGTAAAATTATCATTCAGCTTTTCAAAGGCTGAATATGTTTAGAAATGTGATAATATTTATATAAAATATTTATAAAAAGTAACAGAATATATTTCTTAGATATATAATCATGCATAAGCACTAAAATAAAAAAAAATCAGTTGCATTAACATGCGTACAGTATTAAAAAATTATAACACAAAAGTTGATACATTAAAAAAGATTTGCAAAAAAAAATTCTCAAATCACCTTAAAAGCTATAAAATGTAGTTATATGAAAAAATGACGGCGAGGTTGATTTTTCTTATAATTGTTTCTACCTTCATAATATATTACATAAGCAGGGTAAAACGTATTATCTTCATACTTCACGAAAACATGTTCATTTTCCTTTGTTGTCGTATCACAATTAAGTGGAGGAATAACTGTGTCCTCAGCACCCACAAATTTATTACTGACGAGGACGTTAGCCACAATCATGACCTTTTCATAAGTTTTGTCTCCAAAATATGTGGCATAATTTGATATTGGTGTAAAATACACTCCTTGCCCAAATCTGGTTCCTCGTGCGGTACCTTTCAATCTCCAGTCAAAATTATATTTGCAGATACTATCTATATTTTCTCTCTTTGTACCATGGAAAAGTTGCCTTGTACTAGTGCGGCCGTACCTTTTCTTGTAAGACTTTTCCATTAATTTATACTGCGCTAAAAGATATGGATTATATATTTTCATAATGTTGTTCACTTTGAAGCATCTTTTGATGGTACTGGTAAACAGGTTTTTTATAGCTGAGAACTCCAAACAATTGTCTTGCAGAGGTATTAGAATGTAAATATTATTACTGCTGGTTAAGCAAGTATAGTTTTCATCGTCATGTAAAAATTCGTATATCAGGTTCGAATTAACTTCAATAGACATTGGTTGAAAACTACAGTCCTCTGTAGTCTCATCTTTACTCTCATTAGTTTCACTATTTGTAATTGACAATCCTTGAAATTGAGAAATCAGGTCTTCCTGTAATTTTGGCATCTGCATTTCTTCTCGAAGGGTTTGCAACATTTGCTCCAAATTTGTATTTTCGTTTTGTGCACCGTCCATACTTCCAATATTGGTTTCAGAGTTCGAAAAACTGCTTATTTAATGTACTAGGAGTACTAGGGCTTCTCCTTAGAAAAAAAATCCCATTTACGCACTACATCACTACAATGAACAATCAAATCAACACTTCAAATCGGTGAATAATGACTGAATGACTATTGTAGTTAATTTATCTGTACTTCCCCGAGTCCCCGATATAAAAGCGCAGGATCAGCAATCAATGCAGTGTACAGTAGGTTCAGCAACTTTCTCATGTGATTAACATACAACGTTGCCAGATGCTATTCTTTCTGAACACTCATTGAACTAATAATGTGATTTTATAAAAATAAGTATAGTGAGAAACACCGATTCAAGAATTGTTTTAAAAAAATACACTTCTGCAGAAATAGTTTTGAAATGTACGATTGTGGAACAACTTGTAAGTTAGCATTGTCTCTCTTGCACCAGCTGTGTATTTCTTTTTCGCATTTTGCACTTAAATACATACTAACGAAAAAACGCATTGAAAGTTAACATATCAAATTTCTACATTATAAATCTCTCAAATTATTGCGCTCTATTGTTTCAGAAAAAAAGAACAATTTAAAATATTAGAAAATGCCATGCAGTAGTCGCATAATGTCGAATATATCGGAATCGCCATTCGTCGCCTACACCAAACCACAGAAGTTAAATAAAACAACCAGAATTATATCACGTTGTCGGCACCTTTGATCACTGATGTCTGTTTTCAGGGACCTTGAATGACGTAAATCCCCCACTTTTGGTATACAGTCAGGATTGTATTCGGTGAAATTTTATTGCGCTAAACAGGGATGTACTAACAAAAAAGCCATGAATTTATGTGCAGCAGAAAATGAGGTTAATTATGCAAAAGACTCGGTTATTTACATGAAAAAGTTTTATAAAGGCGAATTTTAGATTTATTTTATTTTTAAGTTAAACCAGTCTATTAATGAAATTATTCAATGTTAAAAATATTTATAGTTAAGATCAAACTACTGAATAATTACATATTCAATATTTATTAACATAAATTCATAAGTACAAGGCAAAAAATGTAAAATGAAAAGAATTGCGTAAACAAACATTTATTGTATAATATACAAATATATCTGTCATAAAACAAACTGTTTTTGAGATACAGTGTGTTGAAATTGTTACTTTCCAAATGATTTTCCTTAATTATCTCTAAATAGGGTAAAGATAAAAATGTAAAAATTTGTACACGAGTAAACATCAACTGTGCGTTAAGAATAATGTGCAAACGGTTTCTTTCTGAAAAGCAGTATCGCTGATACAGGTAATTGCAAAAAATATGTTAAAAGTCAAAATTTATTACATTTCTAAACGGTTTTGTATGCGCTAAAGCATACTGCAAAAAAAGGCATACTTGTCGACATTCGGTAGCATGTACCATTTTCGAGAAAAATTAAGTTGCATTTTTTTTGCTCACATAAACGGCATAACAAAATATTAAATTGAAAGAGGACTTTATCATTGAACTAAATTTATTTTAAGTTTCAGATTGTTGTAAACTAACATTTAAAAAAGTAAATCAAAATCAGGAAATGCCATATTTCCTTTCAACACAATTCATAGTTTTTATATTGTTCTTTATTTTCTAACACTTAATTTGTCCTCAATTTTACAGTACCTTATAGAATAATTATATATACACAATCATTTATTTACACCACAACAAAATAAATCACGTAAAACGACGCCAATGCTCAAGTGCTTGCACCGATCTGCGCGAATACCCCCACCACGCCAACTTATAATTCTGATTGTTTTATCTTCTGTGACCAAACCACATACTTCTAGATAGAAGTATGTGGACCAAACTGACCAAATATTTCTCATGTTATATGTAATTTGCTAGATATGCCAACCTTGCTTATTGTTCTACGCGTCAGCAAATTACACTATTACACCAGCGTTGCCATGTCAGTTTAATTTCCGCTAAATCTGATAGTTTGAACAGATGTTTGACGGCATACATTTTACAAAATCCGTTTTATGGAAAGTTTAGTGGTTCAAGAAAATAGTTTAGCGGATTATTAACGGAATTTTAATCTCTCAATTCTTGATTCAATTTAATTCCTGGTAATACTGGTATAGTCTTTCCGAAGTCAATTGAACATTTAAAAAAAACGTCTACAATAAAATTTAATGACTTTCATAGGCGTCCCTTAAAAAGTTTTCTGCTAAAGGTAAATAATTATAATAATTTGTATATAAAATTTCTATTATATGTTCATTTGCCCATCAACATATTTTAATTATTTATATCCTAAAACAATTTTATATTGATGGTAAATCTCGTTTTGTTCCGTTTCAAAAGGTCTCCAAAATGACATGTTATAATAATATTATTTCTCCCTTTCGCAATTGCAATATCAATGATTAATAGAAGGTGCCTACAATAAATTAAAATTACCTGAATCACACCAAATTCCGCATTGCTGCACTGCACTGCTGGGCAATTTGTCAATCACTTGTCAACAGCTGAGATTTATTGCCCAGTGGCCCAATGCAGCTGTGTTTGTATTTCGTTTGCCCGCACTCGCATTCTTCAACTGGGCGTATACATTTCTACCACCTCCACGTTTAGTTCGACCAGACCTATATATGGGTATGTCTAAATAAATATGGAAACAAGTTTTTGAAATATTTCAATGCCCAGTTGCTGCGTCAGCGACCGAACCTGGTACATACTGTCAACCTCTTGGTTCTTCAATTGATATCGGAAAGAGAACAACACTACTTTCACATATATAGCATCTCATTTGCATAAAAGCGATTAAATCTGCGGTGGTATTCTTTAACATGGTACGGCGACTATAAGCGATATAACCTTCAACTTTCACAATTTTTTTTAGTAACTGTCGTTAATAATATAGCAAAAAGGTTTAAACAGATTTACTTAAAATATCACAAAAAATCAAACAAATGTTTCTGTAAAAGTTACGCTTTATCTTGTGATATTTGTTTGTGACTTTGTGATAAAGTTATAGCACTGTAAGAAAATTATAGACTACAACCCCTGGATTCAATTAAATCATTTAAATCGATGTTTTCTTTTTTTTTTTTGGTTTTACGTCTAATAAATGGAATAATTAATAAGTTTTTAAAACCTATTGTATCGAAAATCAAAACCGTAAATTTTCTTTTTTTAATCAGCGGATTTCTGTCAACTATCTGCTGGAAACTGATTCTTTTGGCATTGGCAACACTGTATTATACTAGGACTTTTTTGAGGAGGAAAGGGTAAGGGTGGATAAAATGGATGCATTCAGGGATATTGTGCAACGCGTTCTGAAAATTATTGCTCAATTAAATATGATAATTTTGCATAAATAATTGATACATAGATACAGAAAGTTCCTCAGGTGTACAATGTAAACATTGCATTCAAAATCTGTTTTTCTCAATTAAAAAAATTTAACGTAATTTTAATATCTTTCTTTTTTTCAAACACTTCGTTTATATAAATAATTGAAACCTACCTATGTAATATGAATAAAGTTGAACCGTGATTACAAGCCACGTGACCAGTGATTTTGTTTGGAACAGTAATTTTATTTCCTTCACGTTGGCAATTAAATTTCAGTAAAATTAAAACAATAAGATACAGGTTACAATAAAACGCAACATTCTGTTTCACCGGCTGTGATTGGTGTAATTTTTCACGAGAATCATTATTATTGGTGACACCAAGATTTAGGGAATTTTCATTACCAACATCAGCACAGTATTGTTGGTTGCCTAATGCCTAAGCTCAGTTGTCACGTAACTTGTAAATGTACTCTTTTCTGTTTTGTGTTGTAAATTGTAAACATTTGTGAACGTTCTGTACAAAAATACTACACTTAGCTTCTGCAGTTTATCGAATAATATATAAGTGATCCATTCAGTTCTTTCTGTGGAACGTAGTCATAATTACGTTATAATAAAAAGTAGGGGTTTCTCTGGCTCCAAGGCAATAACCTATACACGCTATTGGTATATCTGCACATCCATAAATCCTGCAGGGCTTGTGATGGCTAAAATGAAAATGCCGGAGCTCGGAGTAAGAAAAAATATTTGGTAACTTGAATAAATAATACCAAAAATATATAAAAAAAAGTTCGTTATTAATATTGTTATAGTTGCCTATCCCAAAGGCTTAATGGCATTTAAAAAACCCTGGTGTCTTCATATACAAATCGAAATCAGTAGATAAATTGTTATAACATCTCGCAACAAACTACTACTTTTTCTACTTTGCACGTTCTACTAGTTAATTGCATTAACTTCATTAGGAAAATGCTATAGACAATTCCGTTTTCTGTACTAAAACCAATAATATCAATGATTTAGTAATTTTGGTGTTTTGCAATGTATATGCCAATGTCTGATGTGAAAATAATTTAAAAATTAATGAAATAAACCCTTGGGCCAAAAGGATAAGTCAAAGGTTATTTTTATGAAAATGTTGATATGTTTTTTGTACTATATTTTGTATTTGTCCGCTTTTTTCAGTTATGAAAAATATTTTTATAAAAATTCACATTTTTTCACAGGCAGCAAAATGCTCAAAAAATAAAGAGTAAAGAACAAATTAATTTAGAAGGATAACTAATTAATTTAGAGCAACGGATACAATAATAATATTAAAATATATATTTATGAAGTGCATAATAATTATTTAAATATTTTAATTACAATTGGATTATTTAATACTAAAATAAATTATGTATATACATATATATAAAGTTATCATTCAGTTTTTCAAAATCTAGTGATACATACATATGATAAAAGGCAATATTTATAACAGAATGGGTATATAAATATTTTTATAAACATATATAAAAAATGATGCATAAAGTACAAAAATTCTGTATATACTTAGTACATTTACACATACGTAACGCCCTCAACTAAAAGCCATTGAAGACCTACATTTATTTGTGGGTTTTCACACAAATAATAAAACTTAATTATTGTCAGGTGGTAAAAATTTGATTTTTATATTAAAGAAACCTAAATCTATATGATAAAATTTGATTACATTAAAAAATGGTGACGAGGTTGTTTGCTTGTATCTATACCTTGATAGTATATAATATAAGCAGGGTAAAATGTATTATCGTCATATTTCACATAGACGTGTTCATTTTCCTTTGTTGTCGTGTCGTAACCAGTTGGAGGAATAACTGTATTTTTAGCACCCACACATTTATTACCTATAAGAACGTTTGCCACAATCATAACTTTTTCAAAAGTTTTGTCTCCGTAATGTGTAGCATAATATGATATGGGTGTAAAAGACACTCCCTGTCCAAATATATGTCCTCGTGCAGTACCTTTTAATCTCCAATCAAAATTATATTTGCAAATGTTATCTATATTTCCTTTTCTTGTGCCATGAAAGAGTTGTCCTTCAGTAGTAGCATAACCGTATCTTTTGATGTAACAATTTTTCATTAATTTGTACTGTGCCAGAAGATAAGGATTATATATCTTCACAATACTGTTTACTTTGAAGAATTTTTTGTTGGTACCAGTAAACAGATTCTTTATTGTGTGAAACTCCATAGAATATTCGTTTAGAGGTATTAGATTATAAACATTACTGTTGTTGTTTAAGACTGTGTAATTTTCATCGTTATATAAAAGTTCATGCAGAAGATTGACTATAACAGGCGTCTGTGGCAAACTATACGCGCTTGTAGTCTCTTGTTTATTCTCTCTATTTGAAATAGATAATCCTTGAAACTGATATATTAAATCCTGTTGATTTTGCGTCACAAATTCTACTTCCTTATACATTCTTAACATTTGTTTCTCATTATTTCCATATTGGTTTTGTGCACTAAGCCTACTTCCAACCTGGGCACCAGAATACGAAAATGGCTTATTTAACGTACTCGTAGCTCTGGGAGGTTCCTCCTTTGAAGAAAAAAGTCCCATGGTTAGACACTGCAGTTAATTTAACACCTCGGACTAACGAACGATCACTTAATAATCTTGATATGACAGGTCAAATGATTTTTGTGTACTTCCCCGATGCCGAGAAATCCCAAGACCAGACCAGCACTACCAACAGTAGGTTGAAAACAACTTTCTCTTACGTAGAGTCGACTGTCATTAATATACAACGTTGCCAGATGCTTTACAAAAACTGCAGTTGTACGACTAAGTAGCTGATAAATTCACATCAAATTGACGTTTATTAAAATTAAACACAAATGTTGTTTCAGAAAGACCTATAAAGTTTTCAACGTATTTGCTCTTTTAAAATCATTGCGCACCGGAAATATTTCCGCCCTTATTATTTGAGTGTGATTTGAGTTGTTACTGTAGGACGAATATATACTCGGTGCAAATAAATCGAAAATTAATTGGATGATACTTTTACGAAAAAGGAAAAGTGTAATCATTCGAGAGTGGCAGGATAAACCGACTAATAACATTGGGAATATTTACAACTGTCGTTATATTTTGAAAAAAGTAAGAATCAAGTTCGATATTTCTGAATTTTAATTTTTGTAAATTACATTTTTAATATCCCACAAATATAACCGATCACGTGATCGGTCTACTAAACAGCTTATTTGTCATACATGTGGCAACTATGTTTATTATTCTGCCCCGTTAATAAAGACGGTGCAAAGCGCATGGCCGCGACTGCTGTAATCTGGGATCTGGGAATTTGTAAAAATAGTGTATATAGGTAATATAGGTATATCGAACAGAACTATTATTAGTAGAGATAATAAAGATAATAATCAGTAGTACACACAAAACGCATACTAAACTATTACACTTGATGGGAAGAGAGAAAGGGTATTTAGGGAAAATGCAAAATGAAATTACGCGATCTAAGTTTTTTGTAAACAAGGCTGCAACGCGTTATAAAAATAGATTATTGCAAGTTGCTGCTTCTAGTTGCAAATGATGTAAATATATAAATTGAATGTCGTCGGACTCGGTGGAGGGGCTGGGGTGTCAAGAGACAATAATTGCTTTAGAATCTTTTATTATTATGACAATACACAATTTTCAGTTATTTTATCTATATATTATACCTATGCAAATAAAAAACAATCATGCGTAATATGTGGAAATAGCCAGATCTAATAGCTATTTTTACGTGTTGGTATTTGTCAAAAGTTATATTAAAAAATACAAGATATTTCTTTAAAAGATTGCATACCTATATTTTATGTTAATAACATTTATCTAGATATTATTTTTTATTTTTATTTTGAATTATTATTAATTACTACCTAGTTATTTATTGGATATTACTGGAGTAATTCAATGTTAGTTGGGACATGTAATCCAGAGTAATTTTCTGCAATGAAATTGTCTGAAGTTAGATATCTTCACTGTCGACCTCATTTCATAGGATTTTTTTAGGAAAAAATATTTTTATTTCATGTGAATTAGCTTAATACCTTTATAATAATAAATTTTATAAATACTATTTTATGTATGTGCCAAAAGTTAAAAAATTGTCATGGAAATTTTTAATTTCCTAAAGGAATAATTTTTTTTTGACTTGATACATTTATCGTTGTGTTTAAAATCTAAAAAAATAAATAAAAATTTCAGTAAATCGTAATTCAATTTTTATTGTAATTTACTCCACTATTAAGATATTTCAATAGGGAAAAATGTAAACATACTTATGTAAAAGGTCTTATGGGATCAAAATATGCAATGACAGAAGACCAGTTAAACATCAATTAAAAAAAGATAAAAAACTGTATCCTGTATTTTTTTTGTAGAAAATAATGTAGGGTATAAGTACCTACCTATGCCTAATAATCAACAAAACATTAACTTTTTATTTTTAGGACAGATGCGGTTTCACAAATTTAGAAAGTGTTCTCTGAAAAGCAATTTTTATAATATGTAAGATGAAATCGTCAAATATTTACGAGAAATATATTATGTTACTTATATACCGATGCATTAATAATCTTGCTTTCTTTAAACACAATTATTTCAATAATCCGAAGTATGAATATTTTTCGAATATTTCACTTATAAAGTATCAAAACTATGACACATTTATATCGCTGATACATAATTAAAAATTACAGCAAACTAAAAATTTTGAAATGTAAAAAATAAACATGAAGTGTTTTGTCACTCAATATTATTCTACATTGAAAGTTAATGTGAAACATATATAACCAATTTCGCTAAAAACTCCTTATATGAATTTTTATTTAATTTTAAAAATTTTAATTCAAACCGTACACCATTATTATCATCTGGTGACATACTAGAACTAGACTATGAACATTGTTATTATAGAAAACTTTTGATTTTAGTTGCAAGTCAAACTGCAAGCGAATCAACCTCAACCAACATTTGATAGTAATGGGAGTGGTGCTCCGTCTCCAATAGAGGACGACATAGACGCTGCCTTAAACAACTTGCAGACTACTCTAGAGGGATCCAGCATCAATAGTTTTTCAAATGACATCACACAAGTGCCTGAATTAAAGGATCAGTTGAGATTCTTAAAGTAAGTACTTAGCTTAATAATGAAATACTCGATTATGCAATATTAATTAGGTAGTTATTTTTTGTTCTATGTTATCATCATCTATACATTAGAAATTATTACACTTACATGTTATCTTGGTTTCAGGCCAAAAAGGTTTACGTTGAAAGCATACAAAAAGTACTGGTTTACGTGTAGAGATTTGCACCTTTACATGTACAAAAGTCGAGAAGAAATGATGCACGGGCAGAATGCTGTCTTCAACATAAACCTGAAGGGTTGTGAAGTGACGCCTGATGTTAACATCAGCCAAAACAAGTATGTTATCAAATTGGAAGTGCCCAGTTCTGAAGGAATGTCAGAAATGTACATTAGATGCGATGATGTATGTCGAAATTACCTCCTTTGTGTGTACATATATGCTTTACTTATTTTTATTTTAGGAATCTCAATATGCCAGATGGATGGCCTGCTGTAGACTGGCGGCGAAAGGACGTTCTCTTGCTGATAGTTCCTACGAATCAGAAAAGAAAACCATTTTAGACTTCTTATATTTGCAGAAACGCGCTGAAGAACCTGTGATTAATCCAGACAGTCTGGATATTCAAGTGGAAGATTTTATTGCCCCCAAATATTTGAAAAAGTCTAAAGGAAAGGTAAGTAAAAGTTGGAGGCTGTGGTTCATTCTCAGCATGTAGATCAATAAAGAGTGCGGGGAATGCAATTTCTTGGGCGTATCATTTTAAAAAAATTATTAAATATAGAACAAATAGATATATCAATATTGGTTAAAATTAGATTATATTGACAAATCTACACTCAGATTGGTATATACATAATGTCCAACAGGTGGGCAGGTCCTTTTTTATTTATATCGGGTGTCCATTGGGTAGAGCGAAAAAAGTGGCTATGTAAATATGCAATTTATTTAAAATTCGTTTTCAAATAAAGCCAGAAAAAAAACGATCTTGCAAAATTTCGGGTTTTCGGATTTCGCGTCAACAGTAGACTTTGCAGTTAATACTTTTTATTGCTGAAATCTCAAATCATCCTGAGATAATTTATCATTTGTGCATTTGTAATTCAACTTAGATGTTTATAGCAATACTGTACAAAAATAAAGTTTTGGGTCAAACAATGACAGTTTTTTTATTTTTTTCCGTAGAATTGAATGGTGTAATCAGTTTTTGAATGTTTTTTAATTTAAACAAATTATCAACAATAACTGAAAAATTCATTGTTGCAAGTCATTTTTTATTTTTTTGCATTTTTGAGCATGTTTTTGAAATGTTTTTACAGATTTTTTTATTTCATCAAAAAGTATATGTCAAAACGAAAAAAATGATTACCGGCAGAACTCTGTACGATGATTTTTTTAAGTAGAATTTTTCTTTGAAAAAAAAAGTATTTCAGGCTGAAAAAAATGAATATCTCGGAAACTTCTTGATTTTTTTATTTAAGGTTAAGATTAAGGTTAAGGTTATTTAAGACAGAGAAAGGTATACTTTCACCAAGTTTCGTCAAAATTAAATTATTTTCGCGGAAATGAGAAATAAAAAATGAAAAATCAGAAAAAACCTGTTTTTTGCATTTTTCTCGGAAATTTTGAGGTTATGTTAAAAAGTGACCTCCACAAAAGTTGTAGATTTTTGCATGATCTACAACTTTTGTGTTGGATACCTTTTTGTTTGACGTCAACTTTCGCCAGAAATCCCAATGATACAATATTTCATAACTTTTCAACCCCCCAAATCAACCCTCCGCCGCCCCTGCTCACGCATTAATTTTTTTTAGATTTATTATAAGCCCTTTTACCATTTCCACTTATAAAAGTCCAGGTAACAATTTTTTTTTTTCTCCAAGTGTAATATGGATGGATTATTTGTACTGAGGGTATTTTTGTAAAAATCTACTAAAAAAAAAATGTGTCCCAATATAATAATGCCATATGTCCATACATATTTATCTTTCAAAGTTTTGACTACATTTACAGGGTGATTATTTAAATTTTGAATATTACTTTTCCTGTCTCTAAAATGCTTATAGTTGACAATATTTTCCCACTTACACGCATATGACGTGAAAGGATACATCGAGAAATGAAACTGTACAGCGCTGATCATCTCTCTTTTTATGCACGATGAGCAGACAGAAATGGGTGGTTAAACAAAAGAACATTTCTAAATAGGTAGCGCAGGTTATCGTTATGTTATCAGTACAGTATGTGAAATGAACAGTACAATACAATTTATATGCAGAGAATGCACAAAATCATTGTATCAGATTAGTAACTTGTAAAAATTGTGATTTATATTTCTGAGTACTGCTTATTATTTTGGAACTCGGGTATGGATTGATGATGTTTTCCAAATGCATATTTTAATTTGTATTTAATTTCATTTTTTTTTTACAGTTAACACAAAGAATCCTGGAAGCACACGCAAACGTCAAGGACCTAGGGTTAATCGATGCCAAAATGAATTACATCAAGGCTTGGCAGTTGTTGCCAGAGTTCGGTATAACACTGTTTGTGGTTAAATTTATGAATTCAAGAAAAGAGGAATTACTTGGCGTCGCATACAATCGCATAATGAAAATGGACATAAATTCTGGAGATCACCAGAAGACATGGCGTTTCAATACCATGAAAGCCTGGAACGTCAATTGGGAAAACAAACATATGATGGTCCAGTTTGAAGAAGAAAATATCGTATTCAGCTGTCTGTCGGCCGACTGCAAAGTCGTGCATGAGTTCATCGGGGGTTACATCTTTTTATCTACCCGATCGAAGGATGCGAGTCAGACTTTGAACGAGGAGCTTTTCCATAAATTAACCGGCGGTTGGTCGTAAACTTAGTGCCTATTGCAACGTTTGCCTTTCACAAGACGTCAATTATTGTTATGATTTAAAATTTATACATGTTCGATGAATTTGAAATATTTTCTAATATGCACGAGGAAGCAATTTATAAAAGAGGCTGAATATTTGGAAGGTATGTTTCAGCTATTCTTCTGTAATATATTAATTAATACATAATAATTGTTATTTTTATTGTATATAAAAAGTCAGTATTTGCCATAAATACATATATATTTCATATATTTATTACTCTGTAACATAAATGTAACCGCTTATTTACATTGGTTCATATTGTTGCTTTTTAAATGTTAATTGTATTAATATTACTAAAGTGTTAGACAATATATTTTTACCAGGTTTACACTTCCGACATATAACATACATAAACATTTTATTGTATAAAGTAAATAATAAAATCTTTTAACAGTTAGTGGCAGTTTTATTTTAAGTTTTTAGGAAATAATTTATTTTTAAATTTTTTTATAGTAGAACCTCCTAATAGTGGACGTCCATGGGGAATTCCAATATATCTGATATACAGGGTATCTCATGGTGACAGCCCATTGGAATTATTTCAGAGACTACTTTGATTTGAATTTTGAAAATTTGGGATACCGGGTTTTCAGGCATGTCCTTCTCAACTAAAATAATGGCGTCCACGTACCACTTCCAGTTATACTGGAGGTCGCCATCAACTTGCTTATTTTAAATGGAACACCCTATATATTATTGCAATTTTGGATTCTACGTGTTATTTTAGATGGACTTTTATGAAATTTCCCTATTCCTAAAATTAACCGTTTTTGAGATATTTAATTTTTTTCAAAAAAATGAATAACTGACTAGCTTCAAACCATGTGTAATTTATAGTAAGAAAGATAAAGCAACAATATAGGGGGGATAGCTAGACCCCTAAGCTTCCCATCCATACTTTCAAAGCGGCTTAATTGCATACAGGGTGCTAGAAACTTAATGCCGAGTTTAGTTAACTTCAAACCTTCATAAGTCGTTTTTTTTTAAATGGAATACCCTGTATGTTTTTCTTTATTCTGATCAGTGGAGGCAGGTGAACATTGATTGAATGTGTTTTGCTTAGGGTTGTTACATTTGGTAAATTGAATTCCGAAATATTAAATATTAAGTGTCTCTAAATGGCGTGACCTAAACAATTTAAAAATTGTGAAGGTCACGCGTTTTCCTGGCACTTCTGAATTTCAAGGAACAATCCATTTATACAAAAATACAGAATTTCACAAGAACGATTTTTGAAATTGATACCTTTTTGAAATATCTATTCACGAATTACCTACTGACGGTATAAATAAATTGGAATAAACTAAATATATTTTAATAAATTGAATATTGTTTATAAACAAAAAAATCGTCTGTGAAATTTACCAACAATTCAACGAATTTTAATTTTCCTCGCCATGTTATGATTTTTTCTTTATATTTTTTTATATATATGTACATTATATTATATTCCGGGAGTTATACGTGCAAATCCGAAATCCGGGACCATACAGCTAATTCCCGGTACAATCACAGAAAATCCCGGTCATACCCATGTGGCTAGATGTTCTTTTAATATGTCGTCAAGATCTGCACTAAAATTTATGAGTCCACGAAACA